GTGTGGTGGTGTGTGCCTGTAGTCCCAGCTACTTGGGAGGCTGAGGTGGGAGGATTGCTTGAGCCCAGGAGTTTGAGGTTACAGTGAGCTATGATTACATCACTGCACTCCAGCCTGGGCAATAAAGTGAGACCCTGACTCAAAAACAAAAGTAGCTCTGACTTAGGAACAGACACAGAGGAGATCATGGTACACTGTTGCTAAAACATCCTGCAGAATAATTCATGGAGTATGACCTAAGCTTTTTTAAAACAATAAAAACAAAATACACAAATATGCATATAGAAAATTGCCTGAAAAGATAAACAGCAAAATGGTAAGAGAGGGAAGTAGAATTAGGGAGGACATGGTGAGAGGGAGATTTTTTATTTATTATCTGTATACTTCAATATTTTCCAATTTTTTTTTTTTTTTTTTTTTGAGATGGAGTCTCACTCTGTCGCCCAGGCTGGAGTGCAGTGACACAATCTCAGCTCACTGCAACCTCTGCCTCCCCGGTTCAAGCTATTCTCCTGCCTCAGTCTCCTGAGTAGCTGGGGCTACAAGTGCACGCCATCACGCCCAGCTAATTTTTGTCTTTTTAGTAGAGATGGGGTTTCACCATGTTGGCCAGACTGGTCTCGAACTCCTGATCCACCCGCCTAGGCCTCCCAAGTGCTGGGATTATAGGCGTGAGCCACCGCGCCCAGCCCTCAAATTTTTACTTTAAGATCTTAGCTCACTGAACATTCTTAGCTCACTGCAACCTCCACCTCCCATGTTCAAGCAACTCTCCTGCCTCAGCCTCCTGAGTAGTTGGGATTACAAGCATGTGTCACCACGCCCGGCTAATTTTTTTTTTTGGAGATGGAGTCTCACTCTGTCACCCAGGATGGAGTGCACTGGTGCAATCTAAGCTCACTGCAACCTCCACCTCCCAGGTTCAAGCAATTCTATTTCCTCAGCCTCCCAAGTAGCTGGGATAACAGGTGTGTGCCACCACGCCTGGCTAAGTTTTTGTATTTTTAGTAGAGGCTGGTTTTCATCATGTTAGCCAGGATGGTCTCGATCTCCTGACCTCGTGATCTGCCTCACTCAGCCTCCCAAAGTGCTGAGATTACAGGCGTGAGCCACTGTGCCTAGCCACACTCAGCTAATGTGTGTGTGTGTGTGTGTGTGTGTGTGTGTGTATACATACATATATATGTATATATATATAATATATATGTATATATATAATATATATGTGTATATATAATATATATGTATATATATAATATATATATGTGTATATATAATATATATGTATATATATATTATATATATGTGTATATATATAATATATATGTATATATATATATTTTTAATTAGAGATGGGGTTTCGCCATGATGGCCAGGCTGGTCTCGAACTCCTGACCTCAGGTGATCCACTCGCCTCAGCCTCCCAAAGTTCTGGGAGGCATGAGCCACTGCGTCTGGCCTGGACTTCAGACTCTTGAGTTGGCTGCAAGACTACAGGTCCCCTGCAAACCACACTCACTAATCCCTCCCTAATCCCTGACCCCTAGAAGCTTGAACTGGCTGCTGTTTGTCCAGTGAGGAGGTGAGCAAGGGTGCCCTTGGTTTATGCCCGTGATAAAAAGAGAAGCAGCTTTGGCGCTGTAGATACTCAGAACTCCAGCATATGTCAGCCTCCAGAGAGGGGCTTGGCCTCTGCCTGAACAGTGTATTTTTTTTCTCTCTTTCCTGGATGCATTTACTGCAATCAAAGCATTTTGTAAGAGTTGGGTGGGACTCCATAGATGGTCTTGTCCAGTGACCTCACTTTGCAGGTGAGAACATTGTATTCAGGCCAAGAGTTTTCTTCATTTTGCTGCCTAATACTCTCCAAGCGCAGTCTCTTAACAGTTTCTGAGTCTGAATGCAACTCTTCTTTACTGCTCAGTAAAGGAGTCCTATGAGCAAATCTGCAGTTTGTATCAGTGGTTCTTAGTCTTGATGACACATTGAAATCACCTGGGGAGATTTACAAGCTACTGACACCTGGGTTCTACTCCTAGCCGTTCTGATTTATTTAAATTAGGGTGCAGTCTGAGCCCTGGGATTTTTTTTTTTTTGCTCCCTAGATATTTCCAATGTGCAGTCATTATCGAGAACCACTAGTCAATATCGAGTGTGTGTGTGTGTGTGTGTACGTTTCTTTTTTTTTGAGATGGAATTTTGGGGGATAGAGGAGTTAAAAAAAAAATAAAAGAGATGGAGTTTTGCTCTTGTTACGCAGGCTGGAGTGCAATGGCACAATCTCGGCTCACCACAACCTCTGCCTCCCGGGTTCAAGCATTCTCCTGCCTCAGCCTCCCAAGTAGCTGCGATTACAGGCATGCGCCACCACACTTGGCTAATTTTGTATTTTTAGTAGAGATGGGGTTTCTCCATGTTGCTCACACTGGTCTTGAACTTCTGACCTCAGGTGATCCACCCACCTCGGGCTCCCAAAGTATTGGGATTACAGATCTGAGCCACCTTGCCCAGCTAATTTTTTGTACTTTTAGTAGAGAAAGGGTTTCACCATGTTGGCGAGGCTGGTCTTGAACTCCTGGCCTCAAGTGATCCACCTGCCTCGGCCTCCCAAAGTGGTGGAATTACAGGTGTGAGCCACTGCACCTGGCAGCATGTATCTGTGCACACACATGCACACACACATACACACACACACGCACACACACACGCACACACACGCACACGCACACGCACACGCACACATGCACACACACACATGCACACACACACATGCAAAACTGGATTTCCCAATACAGAGTAACACATGCTGAAGTCACCAGCAAAGCAGGACAACAAGGAAAGTGAGAACAAATTTTTAGAGGCTGGGTGCAGTGGCTCACACCTGTAATCCCAGCACTTTGGGAGGCCGAGGCAGGTGGATCAGTTGAGGTTGGGAGTTCAAGACCAGACTGACCAACGTGGAGAAACCCCATCTCTACTAAAAATACAAAATTAGCCAGGTGTAGCAGCTTGCGCCTGTAATCCCAGCTACTCAGGAGGCTGAGGCAGGAGAATTGTTTGAACCCAGGAGACAGGGGTTGTGTCACTGAGCCAAAATTATGCCATTGCACTCCAGCATAGGCAAAAAGAGTGAAACTCCATCTCAAAAAAAAAGAAAAAAGGAAACAAAAAGTTCATCATGGAGAAAATCACATTCTTTTCTTTTTGAGACAGAGTCTTGCTCTGTCACCAGGCTGGAGTGCAGTGGCGCAATCTCGGCTCACTGCAACCTTGGCCTCCCGGGTTCAAGCGATTCTCCTGCCTCAACCTCCTGAGTAGCTGGGCTTACAGGCACGTGCCACCACACCCAGCTAATTTTTGCATTTTTAGTAGATACGATTTCACCATGTTGGCCAAGCTGATCTCAAACTGCTGACCTCAAGTGATCTGCCTGCCTCAACCTCCCAAAGTGCTGGGATTACAGGTGTGAGCCACTGTGCTCAGCTGAAAATCACATTCTTTATCAGGCTTTTAATTTTTTGATGTAGTTTTTTTTTTTGTATTACATTTGGGGGTAGGGTCTCCATAATTTTTCTGGGCCGGGCCCTGATCTGGCCCTGCACAACCACAGAAAGGGCTCTTTGCCTAGAATTTTGCTGTAGGTTTTCTGGCTGCTGCTTCTGAAGGAGGGATGAGGCAACGTGTCACCTGGTTCCCACAGGTGAAAGTCTTCAGCAGCCAGCGCCCTGGCACTGGGCCGCAGTCAGAGGGGTTCAAGAGAACCGCCAAGATCCCAGTCCTTCAGGAGCTCTACGCCAGCTACAGATGGCCTCAGGTACGTGGGGCTCTGCCTTGGGGGAGGTGTACACATGTGTGGTATGTACTATGGGCCTGCCTGAAGCAGAATGAAAGTTGGTCAACTTCAAAGTCATTTCTGAATCGAAATGTAATGAATCAAGTATGCAAAGTGAATCAAAAGGAAATACTTGTGGAAGCCCTATGAGAAATTAATTGGTTGGTTTTGCTCTGGACAATCAGGGAGGCTCCCTGGAGGAGATAAAATTTAAACAGCGCCCTGAAAGATAAGGAAGATTAAAGAGGGAAAGTAGAGGGCCGGGTGCGGTGGCTCAAGCCTGTAATCCCAGCACTTTGGGAGGCCGAGGCGGGTGGATCACGAGGTCAAGAGATCGAGACCATCCTGGTCAACATGGTGAAACCCCGTCTCTACTAAAAATATAAAAAATTAGCTGGGCATGGTGGTGCGTGCCTGTAATCCCAGCTACTCAGGAGGCTGAGGCAGGAGAATTGCCTGAACCCAGGAGGCGGAGGTTGCGGTGAGCCGAGATCGGGCCATTGCACTCCAGCCTGGGTAACAAGAGCGAAACTCCCTGCAAAAGCAAAAAGTACAAAGCCTACCACATAGGAGGGAAAGTAGAGAAAAAAGTTAAGGCTTCTCTATGTCTGTTCTCTTCCACCTTCTCCTCTTTGAACTCAGAAAGGCAGGCTCTGCCCCAGATCCTTCTGCAGCCTTCAGGAAACAGAGGGCTGTGAGGGTACCCTGAGAAGCAGGCAGAGGGTCCCTGCCTCTCACTATCCACCTGAGTGAGATCAGCCCACAGCTGGTCCACCTCTGGACCTGTTGGGCCTGGTCCTGTCTCCTCAGGCCTGGCTTTGAGGTCCCCAATCTTCCTAAAAATCCCCCAGGCCCACCCCTCTGTACATCGCAACTCCAGATCATACCAGGGGGAAATGCCCATCAGTCTTTTCCTTCAGCCTTTGGGGGTTAAGCTCTCAATCTGCAATTGTCTCAGAAAGATCTGGAGAGCTTTAAAATATCCAGAGTCCAGGCCCTGCCCCTGCACTGCCACACTCAGACCATCCTGAAGCAGAGCCTTGCTCTCTGAAATCTCCAACGGGGATGCTGATGGGCTTGATGGGCCAGGACTGAGATCCAGCAGTCAGGGCCAAAATCAGGGGAGAAGACAGGCGAGGTGGCTCATGCCTGTAATTCCAGCACTTTGGGAGGCTGAGGCAGGTAGATCACAAGGTCAGCAGTTTGAGACCAGCCTGGCCAATATAGTGAAACCCTGTCTCTACTAAAAATACAAAACTTAGCCGGGCATAGTGACACACACCCGTGATCCCAGCTACTCAGAAGGCTGAGGCAGGGGAAGTGCTTGAACCCTAGAGGCAGAGGTCGCAGTGAGCCAAGATTGAGCCACTGCACTCCAGTCTGGGCTACAAACTGAGACTCCATCTCAAAAAAAAAAAAAAAAAGAAAAATCAGGCGAGAGAGGGAGGGAGGAAAGAAGGAAGGGAGAGAGACAGCTGCCCAGGGGAAATGTCCAGAGGCTCGGGGACAGGTGGAGAGTGAGGCCACAGCGAGAAGGGGCCCCACAGAGAACAAATGTTCAGAGCAGCCGCTGGATTCTGCTCTATTCCCGGGGCTTGAAGACTGGGACTGAGGACAACTGTTTACCACCAATCAAGGCAGGAAGCCACAAAAGGCCCTTGGAGGGGGCCACCTCTCCTCTCGAGTTGGTGCCTCTGTGAGAGCAAACACTGCATTATCTGCTCACTGTTGTCTCCCTGGAGCCTGGCATATAGTAGATGCTCAATAAATACCCGTTGAAAGAAAGGACTGAATGAGCTTTAAATGCCAGCCCATTTCCTCCCTCATAACTCTTATGGTTTTCTCAGTCTGTGGGTTTCTTATACAAAACAGTGGTGCTGAGAACTTTGAGTAGAGAGGAAGCCAAATGTTTAATTTGGGTTCCTTCTCTCATTCTCCTTCCAACTCTACTTCCTAAGGATTTTGGAATCTGGGTATATGGACCAGCGGAAGTGGGGTTGTTGTTGTAGCCAGCTGCCCACAGCCGTCCTTCCAAATCAGAAAGCTGGAGGCGGGGGAGTGAGGTGGGAGAGAAGGAAGCAGAGGAGGGAGGAGTGCGCAGGAGCATGTAGCGGCTGAAAGGTGTGTGATCTACCTAGAGAGAGCGGGAGGCAGCCAGGCACGGTGGCTCACGCTTGTAATCCCAGCACTTCGGGAGGTCCAGGCGGGTGGATCACCCGATGTCAAGAGTTTGAGACCAGCCTGGCCAACATGGTGAAACCCCGTCTCTACTAAAAAGACAAAAATTAGCCGGGCATGGTGGTGCACACCTGTAATCCCAGCTACTCTGGAGGCTGAGGTAGGAGAATCGCTTGAATCTGGGAGACGGAGGTTGCAGTGAGCCAAGATCGTACCCCTGCGCTGCACTGCATCCTGGGTGACAGAGCAAGACTCTGTCTCAAAAAAAAAAGATAAAAAAAAGCAGAAACTGGGGAAGGCACCTGTATGGTTACCAAGTTCCCAGGAACCTTCCCTCCAGAGCCTCCGTGGAGAGGCACGAGGCACTGCCTTTCTGTGTACTACACCCAGGCGGGACCCTAGAGACGTCCACTCAGGCCTGGAAACCCTTCCCGCAGAGGAGGCAGGAGGACAGGGCTGTTAGCCTCAGGGGCCTGACATTGCCACACACCCATCTCCAGTCCCCAGCCCAGCCATGCCCCTCCCACCTCCCACACACACCAGCAATTACTCAGACCAAACACTCATGGTGCCTCAGGGGATGGGGACAACTCCAGATGACAGAGCGGTTCTTCCAGCTGCACACCTCAAGGGAAGCTGGCTGGAGAAGGCCTTGAGCTGCCAGCCTCTTGGCCCCAGGCCCTCTCCCAGGGAGGGGCAGGGTGCTGGTGGGGAGGGCTGGCTGGATGAGGATTGCAGGCTGTCCTGACTTGTGGCCAGGGCCACCATGACATGGCCACAGACTGTTGGAGTTGGAAAGGCCTCTCATTTCACTGGCAGAGAAACTGAGGCCCCAGGAGACTTGGTCAAGACCCCACAGGTGGTGAATACAAAACTGGGACTCACACCCGGCTGCCTACCCGGAAAAGAGAAGAGCTCCCGGACCAGCCCACGCTATGGCCTTTCACCTGGAGCCCTGGGGAGGGCTGGCTTCCTGGCCTGGCACATCCGCTAGAGCAGATTTCTATAAAACCATATAAATCCACCGCAGGCCTTCCAGTGCCCGCACCTAGCCTGATCACTTAGGGCTGGCTCTCGGCTCTCCCAGGCCTCCTTCAAGGTCTCTGGGCATCAAAATCACTGGGCTGTTTGATTAAAATGCAGATTCCTGAACCCAGCCTGCCCTTCCTAATCCAAGTCTCTGGAGATGGAGCCAGGAATCTGCCTTTTTACCTAGTCCCCTCTCCCCTAACCCTCTCTACAATGACCTTCAGCCAGCTTCCCAGGCTTATCTGGTGTCCTGTTTAAAACACAGGTCCCAGGTTGGGCGAGGTGGCTCACGCCCAGCACTTTGGGAGGCCAAGGTGGGTGGATCACTTGAGGTCAGAAGTTGGAGACCAGCTTGGCCAACATCTCAAAGCTCCGTCTCTACTAAAAATACAAAACTTGGCAGGGCACAGTGGCTCACGCCTGTAATCCCAGCACTTTGGGAGGCTGAGGTGAGTGGTTAAGGAGGTCAAAAGATCAAGACCATCCTTGCCAATATGGTGAAACCCTGTCTCTACTAAAAATACAAAAATTAGCTGGGCGTGGTGGCGTGCGCCTGTAATCCCAGCTACTCAGGAGGCTGAGGCAGGAGAATTGCTTGAACCTGGGAGGCGGAGGTTGCAGTGAGCTGAGATCGCGCCACTGCACTCCAGACTGGCGACAGAGCAAGACTTTATCTCAAAAAAAAAGGAAAAACAAACGTAGGCCCCAGACCACACCTCCAGAATCTGGCTCAGCCTAGCTGAGGTCAGGCCTGGGAATCAGCATTTTTGCAAACATCTTTGCCATCTCTTGGAGAAACAGTTTCTCCCTTTGCTTTGAGGTCCCTAATGCAGAATCCTAGGAGAAACCACAGATGGCCTGGGCAGTAGGAGCTCAAGATTATGTGGAGGACGATTTTCCTGGGGTGGGGGCCCCAACTCTTATCAATTCCTGGAAGAGGTCCCTGACCCCAAATAGAAGTGTCACAAGGAGCCTGGATCCTGGAGTGATGTTTAGAGAGGAGGGAACCCGGAGTGGGGTGTCTCTCTTAGCCGGTACTGACACCCCAGTCCTGCCTGAAGGCTGAACCCAAATCTGTACTCCCCTAGACAGCGTATCCAGTTCAACTACCTTACCCTGTCTCCAGCTGCCCACACCTCCTCCTTCTCTTCCTCTTGCTCTTTCTGTGGAACCTCCCCCATCCGCTGCCCGTCCCTTCCCCACCCTCATTAGCTTCCTCCATCAGCAGCCATGGAAGGGGCAGGCTGTGCACAAGCCCGCCACCGCTCTCCTGGAGGGGAATTTCAGAGGCAAGCCCATGACTGCGTTGTCATCACTCCGTGCTTAGGTCTGGGGTGGCCCCGGGAGAGAAGTTTGTGTAAGATGTGTGGGCGGAGGTGGGAGGGAGGCAGGGCTCTGATGTCGGAGGCTCAGACTCAGCAAGCAGGTTAGCCCTTTCCTGCTAGAAGCCAGCCTCAGCGCCTCCGCTCCCCTTCACGCCTCCAGCAGCCACACCTCCTGTGGATGTGTAGACAGGACACATGGAAGGAAAGCAAACTGTCACTCTCCACCGAGTGGCACTGGACAGTGCTACTGGTGTCTCCACCCCAATAGCAGATAGATGGTGATGATGATGCTCTGCCTTAGTTCATTTGGGCTGCTGTAATGAAACACCATAAAATGGGTGGCTTATAAATAAAAGAAATAGATTTCTTATGGTCTGGAGTCTGGGAAGTCTGCAGCCAAGGTGTAGGCAGATTCAGTGTCTGGTAATGATCAGCTTCCTCTAAAGCCATCTTTTTTTTTTTTTTTTTTAACAAGGTCTCCCTCTGTTGCTCAGGCTGGAGTGCAATGGCACAATCATGGTTCACTGTATCCTTGACGTCCCAGGCTTAAGCAATCCTCCTTCCTCAGCCTCCCAAATAGCTGGTACTAGAGGCACACACTATCACAGCTGGGTTTTTTTTTTTTTTTTTTTTTTTAATATAGATGGGGTTTCACCATGTTGGTCAGGCTGGTCTTGAACTCCCGACCTCATGCGATTCGCCTGCCTTGGCCTCCAAAGTGCTTGGATTACAGGCGTGAGCCACCATGCCCGGCCACAGCTGGGTATTTTTTTGAGACAGAGTTTCACTCTTATTGCCCAGGCTGGAGTGCAATGGCACCATCTTGGCTCACCACAATCTCTGCCTCCCAGGTTCAAGTGATTCTCCTGCCTCAGCCTCCTGAGTAGCTGGGGTTATAGGCATGTGCCACCACTCCCAGCTAGTTTTGTATTTTTGGTAAAGACAGGGTTTCTCCATGTTGGTCAGGCTGGTCTCAAACTCCCAACCTCAGGTGATCCACCTTCCTCAGCCTCCCAAAGTGCTGGGATTATAGGCGTGAGCCACCACATCCGGCCCTGCTATCCCACCTTCCTTTTTTCTCTCTCTCTCTTTTTTTTTTTTTTAATTTTTTAAAGATGGGGTTTCGCCATGATGGCCAGGCTGGTCTTGAACTCCTGACCTCAGGTGATCCACCCACCTCGGCCTCTCAAAGTGCTACGATTACAGGATTGAGCCACAGCACCCAGCCTAGCCCACCTTTCTTTTCTTTTCTTTTTTTCTCTTTCTCTCTCTCTTTCTTCCTTTCTTCCTTCCTTTCTTTTTTTTTTTTTTTTTTTTTTTTT